TGCGTTCCCACTTCTATAAGGAATCTAAAATAGCCAGACTCATAGAAGCAGAGAGTAGAATGATGGTTGCCAGGGACTGATGGGGGAGGAAATGAGGGCCTGCTGTTCAATGGGCATAGAGTTTCAGTTACGCAGGATGCATAGGTTAGAGAGATTTGCTGTACAACACTGTGGCTATAGTTAACAATACTCTATTGTGTACTTAAAAATTAAAGAAGGTAGGCTGGGCGCAGTGGCTCATGCCTGTAATCCCCACACTTTGGAGGTGGAGGTGGGCAGATCACTTGAGGTCAGGAGTTTGAGACCAGCCTGGCCAACATGGTGAAATCCTGTCTCTACTAAAAATACAAAAACTAACAGGTGTGGTGGTGCACACCTGTAGTCTCAGCTACTTGGGAGGCTGAGGCAGGAGAATCGCTTGAACCTGGGAGGTGGAGGTTATAATGAGCTGGAGATCACGCCACTGCACTCCAGCCTGGGCGACAGAATGAGACTCCATTTCAAAAAAAAAAAAAGAGGGTAGATCTCATATTCAATATTCTTACTTCAATTAAAACACACACACATATGCATAGACCACCCAGAACCCACCAAGACTGGATTTAAGGTAGGAATAAAAACAAATGAAACAAACATGCTTGGAACGAATCATACCCTATCAGGGAAGAAGTATCGCCATGACAACAGAAGAGATTTCTGTCTGTACTTCCCACGTTAATCCTAAGAGGATCCGTCCAAGGGAAGGCCAATGTTTGCCTACTCAGCGTAGCACAGCGGCAGGGTTCCCTGTATATGATTGTGAGCACCGTCATCTCAGACACAAAACTAATTTGCAGCTGCATGGACCTGGGTTAGCTCTTTCTATTACAAGTGAGCTGACAATGACACTAAGCAGTTCTTAGCTCTTCTATTACTGCAAATCACTAAAGAGTTTATATCCCTGTCCTACAGACTAGGGGAAAAGAGAGAGAGAGAGAGAGAGAGACAGAGATGGAAAGGGATAGAAACAAAAGGGATGAATTAAAGCTGTCATACTGGAGAGATAATATTACCTACCCCATATGGCTGTTAAGAGGACTAAGTAATTATTTCTAAATCTCCTAGCAGCGCCTGACATATCGTAAGTATTCAACTAATGTTAACTATTGTTATATTTACTATTTTTTTAGAGGCATTCGTGTGGCTTAATTCATAGTGCCCTTCCTCGACCTCACACCACTCTGCTTCACCCCACAAGCTATAAGCAACAAATGCAAATACCAAAAAAAAGTAAAATAAAATTGTTTTGTGTTTTTAATGTATATTAAGAAAATCCAATTACAGCGCAGCTTAGGTGTGAGCTCCAAACTGAAGGGGTTTTATTAAGTATTCGAAACAGTAGATGCCCCATAAATAAGTGTTGCATTGAATTAAAGTAAATATCAATGATGAAAGGTGCCCAATTTCAGTTCTGGAGGCTTCGTGACTATTTTCATCTCCTTTGGCAGTTTGAGGAGGAACTCCTTTCCGTAATCATGAAACTATCATTCTGAATCACCTCTTAAAAACATCATCTGCAGTGACATAAAAACATTCCTCAGAAGTGGCTATTGTTGCAACAATCTGTCTCCTTTAAACCCTTATCACAGTGCAAGGCTTTTGAGAAGCAATGAATGCATGACAGCCACCAGGAAATCTTCAGAGCAAGATGAGGTCTCACAATGGATGGCCGCCTGTGAGGAGCCACATTTACACACTGCACTGACCGTGTTACAGCTTGCTTCTGCCTGTGAACTACACCCTTGCCTTTTGCTTCCCCACACAGGCTCTATAAGACACCCGTCTACCATACTACCCCCTTGGTCCCAAACTGTTTCATAAATATTTTTGTGTGTTATGAATTGACATTTTCTAAGGCTGAGTTTACACAAATAAGAACTGTTCCTTTCCTTGCTCTGCCCGGAGGCGGGGAAAGGGAAACTGGGTTAGGTGAGGTATTTGGGTTTTTTCTCTTATTTCACTCAGATACTTTAAACTAGCTTTCCTCAGTGATGAGACGAAGCGATTGTGGTGCTTTTTCCTTATGTTTAACAGCAAAAAACTTCTTGAATTAATATCTTAACAATGAGAAGGGGAGCAAAGCATATGTGAATGGACTGGAACAGGTCTCAGTAGAAGCCAAGCGTCAGGGGAGCCAAATCCATGTATTTGTAATTCAGGAGAGAAATCTAGATGACTAACAGCAGGGAATGCATTCTGCCATGCGAACAGAGCAAATATGCTAGCGTCATGTGAAGTGTCCCGTCACTGCTGTCTGAGGGCACTTAGGAGACACGAGCTGCCTGAGTGGATCTCTTCACACCAAGCTAACAGTCAGGAGTCGCCTTTAAAATTAATCTGACAAAGGTGTAAATAATGAAAACTCTTAGAAAATTCAAAGAAATCTCAACACCTGACATAGTCTTTTTACCTGGATAATTGTGTAAGCAAAGGGCTATTTGCATACGGTTTAATTGCAAATACTTGAAGACTACCTCTGAGATGAAGAAATAAATCCTTTAAACACAGTGAGTTATTACCTTCATAGATATTAAACCCTTTGTATTTAAATAAGCAGTTAATTTGTGGAAAATGTACCTAAAGGAAGTCCTTTGTATTCTATATTCTATTGTTGTTATTGGATAAAATAATAAAAATCTATTTCCTCTTGCGATCATTTAAAATGCTGCAGTAAAATTTCTCCCAGTTGGTGCTAATGGCAGGCTAAAAGCATCAACCACCATCTGTACTAAAGCAGAGTGTTTCAAATAACAGTGTATGTGTAATATAGACGTTAAAGTCAGGCTATCTTTGTGCAGAGCTATTAAGCCAACTGATAAATTTTCGTCCAACAATTGGTTGGACTTTTTCCTGTCTAATTTGGGCAGCTTTTCAACCAAAGGAAGTCAATCAACCAAGTACCTTCGAATATACATACATGGGAAAGATACAATTAGCCTCTATCCAATCCTTCCCTTAAAAAGTCAGCAAATACGGGCCTGAATAATCTTCACAAGGTCATTAGATATAATGCATTAATAAAAATTGGAATGTAAATCTAGGAAAATTCTTGAAAAAACAATCTCCGTGAACAAAAATGAGAGAAAGTAGCCCTTGGCACAAGAAAGCAACTATGATCCCTGTTCCATGGTTGGAAAAAGTTGAGAATCTACTCTTCCTGCCACTCCAGGGATTTCCCATCAAGTGATTGAGGCTGTTTAATTCATTGCCCAAATCCTTTATTTGATTGGTGTGGGTGCAATTCTTAAAAATATAAGGTAAAAAAAAAGGTGGAAAATATAAGTTTAAAAAGAAAATATTTTATACCTTTTATAACTGGTTAATTGACAGGCCAGTGGAAATTAATATAAACTTTGCTCACGTGTTCCTTTTCTTATAAAGAGGAGACACAGCATAATGATGTAGATGGAGGAATAAGTCCGAAAATCAGGAAAGCAAAAACTTCTCTTCTACTGCTTAAGAAATAGATTGCCTTTACTATTACAATATTCTCCTAAGTTTTTCAGGTATTCTTAACTTTCCTGTACAAATGAACAAATGAACGAACATAACTTTGCCATGGATTCATGCAAAGGAGAATATAACCCTTGCAGGAAAATGTGCCACAAGGAAATCAAGATCCTTTGTTTTACAGCTAGGAATAAAATTTATATTTTCTCCATTCACTAGGGGAAGATGAATATATTTTGAGTCTAAATAGTACTATCGGCATGAAATCAAATTTAAATCCCTTGTTTAATACAGAAATAATTTCAGAAATAATTTTCAAATCTAGAGTAGATGTCTTTTGTCTGTTAGTCTGTACACAGTTGTGTGCATGAGCACGTGAGTGTGAGATGCTTACGTGAATTCCTGGTAGTGTGTTCAGAATGCTTAAGGCTATGACTGCATATAGGGCCTCAGATACACACATAAAGAAATTAAATATTAAAAGATTACTTTGAAAAAGCATTATGGATCTGAGACAATGCAATAAAAGCCAGTCATATGACTAATGAAGAAATTCAGCAAACCTCTCCTAATTGAATCACTGCAAATTTAAAATGGGGAATGGCCTACTTTCTGCTACTGGCTCAAATTTGCTTTCCTTTGATGCCCATTTATTTTGTTACTTTCTTCATATTATTAAAATAGGCTTTCATATATTTAACTTGCCTTATTCTTTCATTTACGAAACAGAAAACAAACTGAAAAAGCATGTAATAACAGTTCATTACTAATGCAATCTCTCTGGAAATGAGACTTATACAGAAGTGTTCATGTCATTTACATATGTGTAGTTTCACTTGAATATGCATAATCTTCCTGCTATGATGAATCACCTCCTAGTAGAAGCTCTGGTCTTTTAATTAAATACACTGAAGTGTATTTTAAAAAGGATATTAATTTCATCATTAGACACTAATAGCATTCTAGGAACTGCTTCAGTTTATCATTGAAACTAGGCATATAATAACCCTTTCTGAAATAAATGTTTCATCTGAAATATTAGAAAACATACATAGAAGCAAACGACTTTTCAAAAAAAATCTTGGCATGAAGGGTTTACAATACATAAGCTTGCCAATGTCATATTCTGCACACACTTGTCTTCATCATAAGTCCATAAAGCAAAAGGCAAATGATGTGAAAAACTATCTCTTTCTATTGTGTTTCTTTATGTGTTCCTCATTTTGCACTCACCATATTGAGGAATGGTTGGATCCAAAATTTTATAATCAAGGTTAAAAAAAATATCTGAAAAGAGGCTTTGGGGTGAGAAACAGACTCTTACCCAAAACAAGGCAGAGCCATTCCTCTGGGACACCAGCACAATAGATTTGTTGTTGCTGTTTTGAGAACCAGAGGACCCATATAAAACAAAACCAGAATCTCTTCCCATTACAGTACATAACAGAACGTCAAGGGTTTGGGGACCCTCATCACGTCTAGCTGTAAGACCGGATTTTATATTCTAGATTATTGACGATTACAAAATGTTAACAGCTGGATAAACTGTAAAATATGCATTATCTTCACATGAGAAGGTTTCAGCTTATAAATGCTTAAATACTGTATCTATTGGCATTTAGTAAAATCTTTCCCTGATCCTGATTTCTGCACTGGGTGGGGGAAGAAACAAACAAAAGCAAAAGCCTGCTCTCCTGAGCCTTTTATATCTCCCCAAACAAATTACTGAAATCAACCAAACCAAAACTCGCCTTTATTTTCCTAGTGTTAGATACTTGTCAATTTGCATATCTAGCAACTGAAGTAGGGAAGTTTTCTGCCAATCAATGGTCCCCTCTGCTCATCAGGTAAATACCTGGCTCTTTCAGCTTTGGAGGTGTTTTCCACACAGTGATACAGCAAAGGTTCTTTCTTTTTTTTCCTTTTTCTTTTTTTTTTTTTCCTGGAAAGGAAAGAGAAAAGAAGGGAAGGAAGGAAATCTGTCTTGGAAGAGGAGATCTCCTCTGGTTCTTCAGTGGTTCCTTCAGGCCTCCGGACACTGGCTCATCCCAATATCCAGGCATGACTCTTATTTAGGTTTGGCTAAGTCCTGTTTTCTGCAAAGGCAAGTAAAGGTGACTTCCAAGTGTTCACTATATTAAAGAAAAAAAGAAGAAAAACTTAAAGGTAAAAAAGAAAAAAGTGCTTGAAAATAACTCTCAGGGACTTATCTTGAGAGGAGAATCCCAAGTGTAGCATCCCTCTTTCTGGTGTTATCCTGTCCCTGCTGAGGGCACAGAGACCTCCTCGGTCCATGCTCTGGAGCAGGCGGGGACGGGTGGTGTCCTAAAAGACTTTCTTTAGGAAAAGCAAAACTAACTGCAGTGGTTTCCAGGGAAAAGTTGTATTCCTTGACATGTGGCCCATCCACTTTGGCCCGGAAGACCTCACAACTTTTTGGCACTGTCGTGGCAGGCCGTTGCCCTGATGGTGGTCCCAGCCAAGCCCCGGTTGCTGACTCTGCGGACCAGCACTTTGGAAACCGGGATTTTTGTTCTGGGCATCTCACTCCTGGAGGGTTGCTGGTGCACCACGGGATGGCTAGATGGAAGGTTGGTCAGGTGCTTGATGCTAATAGGGATCTTAGAGTCCTTCAACAAGCTGCCTGGGGTTCGCAGTGGACAAGTGATGGTGCCTGGAGATACGGGCTTTAACCGGGACAGGCAGGACGTCTCCTCGTTGTCCTTCCCCCCAGGAAGGGTTGCTGGACTTGCGTCCGGGTCAGCATAGAGATCGTAGAGCGCGTCCCCGCTGTAGCTATCCCGGGGGATGCCCGCCTTCTTCCCGCTGCTGGCGCTGTCTTCCTCTGGGCCTGGCGTGGTGGAGTCCCAGTAGCCCTCGTCGCTGTTGGGGACGCCCTCCTGCTGCTCCTTCTCCGGGTGCTTGGGCTCCTCCTTCGGATGGGGCTCGATGGGAATCCGGTTGAGCCTCCTGCGCTTGACCGAGGACGCGTCCTTGGCCGCTTCCACACACCTGGTGTCTTTGGGGGTTTCGGGCGCCACCTTGGCTTCCAGCGCAGCTGCCACCTTGGCCGCGCCCTCCTGGGGCCCGGGTGCCCGCTCCTCGGTCTGGGACAGCATGTCCCAGAACTCCTGCAGGTAGCTGTCGTCCACCTCGTCCGGGCTGGCCATCTCTTCCCCGCCTCCCTGGTAGGCCACCACGCCGGGGTTCTTTTTAGAGAGAGGCGGCTTGCCTGGCCCGGGGGCATGCTTGTCACAGCTGGCACCTGCCTCTTCCTCTGGGTCTGCAATAATATCTCCACAGCCTGTAAGAGAGTCAAAGCTTTTCAGTGAAGTCACGTCAGAAAACATCAAACAAATACGATCTGCCGACGGGTCTGAGGGTGGATCGACAGAGGCAGGGTCCGGGGCGGCGGGTGCCCGGCCGCTGCCGCCTTCGGAGTCGACAAGGGGGACCGTCTTGACCGGAACGGCCCCCGTCCTGGACGCGTCCTCG